TTGCTGGGAGCAGTCGGTTGACCCCTCTTTGCAATAAGGGTCACCTAAAATGAGAGTTGAACAGCAAGCATTATTGCCACCATGAAGTGTTGCTGGGAGCAGTCGGTTGACCCCTCTTTGCAATAAGGGTCACCTAAAATGAAAATTGAACAGCAAGCATTATTGCCACCATGAAGTGTTGCTGGGAGCAGTCGGTTGACCCCTCTTTGCAATAAGGGTCACCTAAAATGAAAATTGAACAGCAAGCATTATTGCCACCATGAAGTGTTGCTGGGAGCACTCGCTTGACCCCTCTTTGCAATAAGGGTCACCTAAAATGAAAATTGAACAGCAAGCATTATTGCCACCATGAAGTGTTGCTGGGAGCAGTCGGTTGACCCCTCTTTGCAATAAGGGTCACCTAAAATGAAAATTGAACAGCAAGCATTATTGCCACCATGAAGTGTTGCTGGGAGCAGTCGGTTGACCCCTCTTTGCAATAAGGGTCACCTAAAATGAAAATTGAACAGCAAGCATTATTGCCACCATGAAGTGTTGCTGGGAGCAGTCGGTTGACCCCTCTTTGCAATAAGGGTCACCTAAAATGAAAATTGAACAGCAAGCATTATTGCCACCATGAAGTGTTGCTGGAGCAGTCGGTTGACCCCTCTTTGCAATAAGGGTCACCTAAAATGAAAATTGAACAGCAAGCATTATTGCCACCATGAAGTGTTGCTGGGAGCAGTCGGTTGACCCCTCTTTGCAATAAGGGTCACCTAAAATGAAAATTGAACAGCAAGCATTATTGCCACCATGAAGTGTTGCTGGGAGCAGTCGGTTGACCCCTCTTTGCAATAAGGGTCACCTAAAATGAAAATTGAACAGCAAGCATTATTGCCACCATGAAGTGTTGCTGGGAGCAGTCGGTTGACCCCTCTTTGCAATAAGGGTCACCTAAAATGAAAATTGAACAGCAAGCATTATTGCCACCATGAAGTGTTGCTGGGAGCAGTCGGTTGACCCCTCTTTGCAATAAGGGTCACCTAAAATGAAAATTGAACAGCAAGCATTATTGCCACCATGAAGTGTTGCTGGGAGCAGTCGGTTGACCCCTCTTTGCAATAAGGGTCACCTAAAATGAAAATTGAACAGCAAGCATTATTGCCACCATGAAGTGTTGCTGGGAGCAGTCGGTTGACCCCTCTTTGCAATAAGGGTCACCTAAAATGAAAGTTGAACAGCAAGCATTATTGCCACCATGAAGTGTTGCTGGGAGCAGTCGGTTGACCCCTCTTTGCAATAAGGGTCACCTAAAATGAAAATTGAACAGCAAGCATTATTGCCACCATGAAGTGTTGCTGGGAGCAGTCGGTTGACCCCTCTTTGCAATAAGGGTCACCTAAAATGAAAATTGAACAGCAAGCATTATTGCCACCATGAAGTGTTGCTGGGAGCAGTCGGTTGACCCCTCTTTGCAATAAGGGTCACCTAAAATGAAAATTGAACAGCAAGCATTATTGCCACCATGAAGTGTTGCTGGGAGCAGTCGGTTGACCCCTCTTTGCAATAAGGGTCACCTAAAATGAAAATTGAACAGCAAGCATTATCGGCACCATGAAGTGTTGCTGGGAGCAGTCGGTTGACCCCTCTTTGCAATAAGGGTCACCTAAAATGAAAATTGAACAGCAAGCATTATTGCCACCATGAAGTGTTGCTGGGAGCAGTCGGTTGACCCCTCTTTGCAATAAGGGTCACCTAAAATGAAAATTGAACAGCAAGCATTATTGCCACCATGAAGTGTTGCTGGGAGCAGTCGGTTGACCCCTCTTTGCAATAAGGGTCACCTAAAATGAAAATTGAACAGCAAGCATTATTGCCACCATGAAGTGTTGCTGGGAGCACTCGCTTGACCCCTCTTTGCAATAAGGGTCACCTAAAATGAAAATTGAACAGCAAGCATTATTGCCACCATGAAGTGTTGCTGGGAGCAGTCGGTTGACCCCTCTTTGCAATAAGGGTCACCTAAAATGAAAATTGAACAGCAAGCATTATTGCCACCATGAAGTGTTGCTGGGAGCAGTCGGTTGACCCCTCTTTGCAATAAGGGTCACCTAAAATGAAAATTGAACAGCAAGCATTATTGCCACCATGAAGTGTTGCTGGGAGCAGTCGGTTGACCCCTCTTTGCAATAAGGGTCACCTAAAATGAAAATTGAACAGCAAGCATTATTGCCACCATGAAGTGTTGCTGGGAGCAGTCGGTTGACCCCTCTTTGCAATAAGGGTCACCTAAAATGAAAATTGAACAGCAAGCATTATTGCCACCATGAAGTGTTGCTGAGAGCAGTCGGTTGACCCCTCTTTGCAATAAGGGTCACCTAAAATGAAAATTGAACAGCAAGCATTATTGCCACCATGAAGTGTTGCTGGGAGCAGTCGGTTGACCCCTCTTTGCAATAAGGGTCACCTAAAATGAAAATTGAACAGCAAGCATTATTGCCACCATGAAGTGTTGCTGGGAGCAGTCGGTTGACCCCTCTTTGCAATAAGGGTCACCTAAAATGAAAATTGAACAGCAAGCATTATTGCCACCATGAAGTGTTGCTGGGAGCAGTCGGTTGACCCCTCTTTGCAATAAGGGTCACCTAAAATGAAAATTGAACAGCAAGCATTATTGCCACCATGAAGTGTTGCTGGGAGCACTCGCTTGACCCCTCTTTGCAATAAGGGTCACCTAAAATGAAAATTGAACAGCAAGCATTATTGCCACCATGAAGTGTTGCTGGGAGCAGTCGGTTGACCCCTCTTTGCAATAAGGGTCACCTAAAATGAAAATTGAACAGCAAGCATTATTGCCACCATGAAGTGTTGCTGGGAGCAGTCGGTTGACCCCTCTTTGCAATAAGGGTCACCTAAAATGAAAATTGAACAGCAAGCATTATTGCCACCATGAAGTGTTGCTGGGAGCAGTCGGTTGACCCCTCTTTGCAATAAGGGTCACCTAAAATGAAAATTGAACAGCAAGCATTATTGCCACCATGAAGTGTTGCTGGGAGCAGTCGGTTGACCCCTCTTTGCAATAAGGGTCACCTAAAATGAAAATTGAACAGCAAGCATTATTGCCACCATGAAGTGTTGCTGAGAGCAGTCGGTTGACCCCTCTTTGCAATAAGGGTCACCTAAAATGAAAATTGAACAGCAAGCATTATTGCCACCATGAAGTGTTGCTGGGAGCAGTCGGTTGACCCCTCTTTGCAATAAGGGTCACCTAAAATGAGAGTTGAACAGCAAGCATTATTGCCACCATGAAGTGTTGCTGGGAGCAGTCGGTTGACCCCTCTTTGCAATAAGGGTCACCTAAAATGAAAATTGAACAGCAAGCATTATTGCCACCATGAAGTGTTGCTGGGAGCAGTCGGTTGACCCCTCTTTGCAATAAGGGTCACCTAAAATGAAAATTGAACAGCAAGCATTATTGCCACCATGAAGTGTTGCTGGGAGCAGTCGGTTGACCCCTCTTTGCTATAAGGGTCACCTAAAATGAAAATTGAACAGCAAGCATTATTGCCACCATGAAGTGTTGCTGGGAGCAGTCGGTTGACCCCTCTTTGCAATAAGGGTCACCTAAAATGAAAATTGAACAGCAAGCATTATTGCCACCATGAAGTGTTGCTGGGAGCAGTCGGTTGACCCCTCTTTGCAATAAGGGTCACCTAAAATGAAAATTGAACAGCAAGCATTATTGCCACCATGAAGTGTTGCTGGGAGCAGTCGGTTGACCCCTCTTTGCAATAAGGGTCACCTAAAATGAAAATTGAACAGCAAGCATTATTGCCACCATGAAGTGTTGCTGGGAGCAGTCGGTTGACCCCTCTTTGCAATAAGGGTCACCTAAAATGAAAATTGAACAGCAAGCATTATTGCCACCATGAAGTTTTGCTGGGAGCAGTCGGTTGACCCCTCTTTGCAATAAGGGTCACCTAAAATGAAAATTGAACAGCAAGCATTATTGCCACCATGAAGTGTTGCTGGGAGCAGTCGGTTGACCCCTCTTTGCAATAAGGGTCACCTAAAATGAAAATTGAACAGCAAGCATTATTGCCACCATGAAGTGTTGCTGGGAGCAGTCGGTTGACCCCTCTTTGCAATAAGGGTCACCTAAAATGAAAATTGAACAGCAAGCATTATTGCCACCATGAAGTGTTGCTGGGAGCAGTCGCTTGACCCCTCTTTGCAATAAGGGTCACCTAAAATGAGAGTTGAACAGCAAGCATTATTGCCACCATGAAGTGTTGCTGGGAGCAGTCGCTTGACCCCTCTTTGCAATAAGGGTCACCTAAAATGAAAATTGAACAGCAAGCATTATTGCCACCATGAAGTGTTGCTGGGAGCAGTCGCTTGACCCCTCTTTGCAATAAGGGTCACCTAAAATGAAAATTGAACAGCAAGCATTATTGCCACCATGAAGTGTTGCTGGGAGCAGTCGGTTGACCCCTCTTTGCAATAAGGGTCACCTAAAATGAGAGTTGAACAGCAAGCATTATTGCCACCATGAAGTGTTGCTGGGAGCAGTCTGTTGACCCCTCTTTGCAATAAGGGTCACCTAAAATGAAAATTGAACAGCAAGCATTATTGCCACCATGAAGTGTTGCTGGGAGCAGTCGGTTGACCCCTCTTTGCAATAAGGGTCACCTAAAATGAAAATTGAACAGCAAGCATTATTGCCACCATGAAGTGTTGCTGGGAGCAGTCGGTTGACCCCTCTTTGCAATAAGGGTCACCTAAAATGAAAATTGAACAGCAAGCATTATTGCCACCATGAAGTGTTGCTGGGAGCAGTCGGTTGACCCCTCTTTGCAATAAGGGTCACCTAAAATGAAAATTGAACAGCAAGCATTATTGCCACCATGAAGTGTTGCTGGGAGCAGTCGGTTGACCCCTCTTTGCAATAAGGGTCACCTAAAATGAAAATTGAACAGCAAGCATTATTGCCACCATGAAGTGTTGCTGGGAGCAGTCGGTTGACCCCTCTTTGCAATAAGGGTCACCTAAAATGAAAATTGAACAGTCAACATTATTGATACGATGAAACGTTACTTGGAGTATTAAAACACCCATTTTCTTAATATTTAAATAAGCATCTTCTATTTTAATATACTTAGCTTATAGTAATCTACTGAGCGTTATCAAAAAGTTACCTTCAACTTCTTCTAAGTTCAATTCTCCCAACAGATTCCAGAAGGGATGATATATGACGTGTTTGATGACGTATAAGAACGGCTCTCTGTGTGTGTACATGAGGGCCTGACTTGCAACGCCATAGCCAACCAGGAAGACAGCCAAAATGATCAGGAAGAAGACTACCTCCACAAGCTGAAGAAATATAAGAGATATATTTGGTTATAACGGACAAGGACGTTATATAAGTTCTAGATCTGATCATCTTTCTAGATAGGATGGGATCAAACAATATTGGGCGGGGACATTGTGTAGTATTGACAGTCACACAATTAATTTAAATATATTTGATTATTTTGATTCGAAAGGAACAAAACGTATCGAGCGTAGGAGGGCAATCAATAACAAACCCTCTGGCACAAAGGTAAACAAGGCATTGGCATGCAAAATGTCACCACCTGTCACTTATTACAGACGCCGACTACCGAACGCCAACAGTCGAACATCGTCCGTCAAACGCCAACCACCGAATTCTGTCCGGTCCACAAAAAGTTGAAGACTATAACAATATGCCACCCCTTCTAGTGGTGACATAATAAACACGTAATGAATACAGTAATCGGTAAAAGTTACTATACATGTGTATACATTATAAAACAACATGTATCAGTAGTAAATACGTCATACTCATACTGAAATATCTCCTCACCATCCGCAATATCATGATAAGTAATGGACCGAAGTAGGAGCTCGTGAGGAATACATTGCACACTCTACAGTACCACAGAAGGCAACTCATGGCGTAAAACAGTCTACTGATATCATAAGCATTCTGGTAAAAGTCCTTGTTGTGTGGAATATAAGCGTTATAGCTGGCAATACGGATACTGAACGCAGTGACCACTAGAAGCATGCCGCCAAAGTCAACTAGATTCCATAGGCTCTTGAACCATTTCATCCTCTCTACAAAAACCTAAACGTAAAAGTAAGTTTTATGAACTTTGATGCATTAATATAAAAAAAAATAAAGCTAAAACTACAACACGAACGAACTTTGCATTCTAGTAACGGAGAGAATATTTCGAAATATATATCAAAAGAATGTCAGTTTCTAACTCGTCGAATACGGCAATATCATGGCTTGTCATTCTGAATCAAGATTGTGAAGGGTGTCAGATTTATGTTTATTTAAAACATCACATCGAGATATAGTATTCAGATAATATATCGTAGAAAATAGCACAAAACGAAAAGGAAGTGATCAACTATAAAATGGGGAAAATGTTTCCCCTTCTTTAGATTCATAATCTCACTTGTCTTATTTCCTCCAGCATGAGGGTTCCGGTCCAAACCATCAGGATAAGTTCTATGACAGTGATTGAGGCATCATCGTTTAAGGCATCAAAGTCGAACAGAATAAAGTACGAGAAAAGCAGGATAAAAATGATCTGGCTGATCTGTAAAGGATGATGGATACATTATAGTATAATACATTAATCATGTTAAACATAAATCAACATTGAAAAAAAAAGAATTTTGTTTATTGTAATGAGAAGATTCATGTGCAGAACAGTTTTGACCGGATCCTTAATTTTGACCAATCTACATGTTTAAAGTGGTGGATAACGTGAAAATTTTAGTTGGTACATGGTGTGTGATCTCTTAGGTGAAAAACTATGAACATATTTTCTTACTGTATACATGGTGAATTTGACAACAGCTAGGTTGTAGAATTTAATCAGTTTCTTGAACAGGTTTCTGCTGGGATTTCCAAACCGTATAAATGGTGTGAAAATCAAAAGTGGAAAGAAAACTGACAACAGCATCTAAAATGTAAATCTCTATTAAATGACACAATGAAAGATAAGTTTTAGATCAAGTTTCTTCAGTCCTGAATTTAAAACTAAAGAAGTACAGGACAGTCTTTGGGCAATGCCGTAATGCAGTAAATTTTGTGAAATACCCGGGGAAATACCATAACAGTATCTCTCGAAGTAGCCATGATACCATGTCCCCTTACTCTATGCGACCTCAATTTTCCTTAATAAGCATAAATGCATTGTTAGAACGACAATACCTTTCCATTGGATGGTTCCCGTGCATAACGGGAAAAATATTTTGTATAACAAAGATCGAAATTGGCAGATTTTGACGTGAACGTTCGATCAATATACGTGGTCCGAAAGAACCTGATTGGAAATCTTTTGAAGTACAATGGTGTATATGTTTTACTCACCCTAAAAGTTGAGCTGAGAAGATCTTCTGTCCATATACCAGTTAGGACATTTTGACAACCAGTGTTTGCAAGGAAACTCTGAAAAGAAATATGACATCACTGGAGAGGTTAAGCTACCGTATAAAATCCAAAACGCAACTTAAACGTATCAATCGGCCCTATACAAATACATGTAGAGTTCACACATAAATAGCCGTTCAGCTCTAGTGTTTGTTTAGACTACACCATAGCTTGTAATGATTACATAGTATGCCATTGATGAAGTTCAATAGCTGGTTTTCTAATACATATTTTAAACGAGCTCGTTTCGTAAGATTATTGGAGTTAAATCATGCGTTACATACATCATCTTCTTCAGAAAGAATTATACTTTGCATCGAAATCAAAATTCCAAGGATAGTATTCAACAGACATGAGTATAATGATTCCCGTTGATAGCAACGTGGAAATTTAAAATCTCCCGTTCTAAACACGCAACTTTGAAGTTGAACGGGTATCTGAAGTAGACTAAAGCGATACAATCCTATGTTGATTCAATGTACTTTGCGTTTACGTATACGTTTTGAAAAACCGTATTTGCTTAACCTCTCCAATGTATGATTCAGAAAACGTAATGATATTGCACGTGTTATGTACATGTTTCTACACGAAAATGAAATGCAATTTGGTATTGGACTTGTTTGTGGAAAAAAAATTCACTAGGAAAAAGTAAATAATATTACAAAGTAAATAATAATACATCCCTCTTACCAGTTTTTACTAAGCAGTTATGTATACTAAGCAATTATCAGGGACTTTAAGCTTGCAATGTTTTTCACAACCTAGACGTGAACGAAAAATATTCAAGTGATGCATTTGTATGGGCGATTGGTCATACGTATAGGTTGGCGATTCGATTTTATATGCACGCTTGAACTCCCTATTATTAAAAACGAGTGTATTCTTACCGATATGTCACCATTAGCTGCTAATGCCATTGCATCTTCGGCCTTCCAGCGACTGACAGGTCTTGTAATAACCTTGTTCGCCAGAGGGCGCTCAACGTCAGTACACTCATCTAGCAAGGCGCCTGCTAACTCAGCGAATTCTCTACAATTACAATGGGTGTAAACTCTACGATGATTTCTTTATGGAATCTAAGGTAAATTTTGTATCGTTGACTAACAAGGATGTTGCTCTAGTGACAAACTCCGTGGCAGTGCAACATGTCTATTCCGAGATACTGCATAAGATAGAATAACGATATCTCTGTCTTGGTATAATCAACTTCACCGATACATAAACTTTAAACATATACATAAATAGAGGATATTCTTTGATTTTTGAGGGATACCATCCATGAGTGGATATCGCCCATCTCCAAGAGTGGATAAATATGATAGCTCGAGAAAATCATAGGATATCATATTCATCCTATGGTCGCTATTTTTGTATGGACTTTAATTTGACCTAAAAGTTGGTGTTTTTTAATTATTTTCTAATTTTTTCATTTTATTTTCTGTTAAATTATTTTTACAAATTTATTGCAGGAAATATTTATACTTATTTTTACTGAGCACATAATCTTGGAACTATGTTGTGGCAGATCAAACAGGCAAGGGGTTATTTGTCGCCAAATTCATAACTAATGAAAAAATCGTATCCAACGAATACTAATTTTTAGACGTCAAATGAGTCGGATATCCACTATAAATTGTTATATACGATTTTAGTGGCGCATATCAAATTATTTTGTGTTGTTATCCCCTTATAAATATAGTATCCATCGGATAAACGTTGTTACTCACTGGGAATTCGTCTCATATTCTGCCCTTTTCTCAGATACAGCCAGCGGGAAGTAGCCGGAAAATTTCTTGAGCATTGTGGAGGCCGCTAAAGCACTAGAGATGCCATTGTTCATTTCGCCCCATAAAAGCTTCCCTATGTCTTGCCTGGATTCATTATTTGAGATATGGTTAAATTTCAAATATATAAGACAATAATTTCAAAGGGAATTGCACGTTTTCCTTTCAATCCTTATGTACAGATTCATGAGAGTTGATAAGAGATAAATTTTGTACTGACAGTCAAATCTTCATTTGTATGTTTGCTGTGCAAAAATGAATGTTTAATCGAAGATCGGATTAGTTACTAAAGTCAACGAAACCAAACTCAGAATATGTGACAGGATGTATGACTCACCGTCCCATTATTATCGCCCATAGAAATAGTTCCTGTACGGGAGTCTTCAGCTGCTCAACCAGGTGGCGGTCTTTCTCACTGATGTCTTTGAACATATCGTTGTGGAAGAAATCGGCCTCCAAAGCTCTGGAGATGACGTCGATCGTCTCCATAGTAACTCTCTTACTGTAGTCCTCTTGCTTGTGGTAGCCTATGAATGGAGGAAACAATATTTGATTGATGAAATTAAATTGACAACAGCCATTGACGTTTATCTAATTAAGATTGCAATCAAACCCAGGTGTATTACAGCGATCGGGCTATGGATAAAGTTGTTTATACTGATATCTTTGTATGTAACATCTCGTGATAGCTCAGTTGGTAGAGCGGGGGACTGTAGCGTCTAAACCTGTTATCCCTAGGTCACTGGTTCGACTCCGGTTCGCGAGAGAGGACATTTTTTTAAAGTTTGTTCTGTATAATCTCTTTCATTATATTCAAAATCCATATATCAATTCATGTAATTAGGAACTCTATTATCTCATCTCGTGATAGCTCAGTTGGCAGACCGGGGGACTGTAGCGTCTAAACCTGTTATCCCTAGGTCACTGGTTCGACTCCGGTTCGCGAGAGAGGACATTTTTGTACTTTTCATTCACTCAATAATTGAATAGTAAACACAAAATAAATCAAATTTTAAACTGTACCTGGCCTGTTACATGTAGTGCACCAAAACTGAACTAAATACACTCATTCATTTCTCAACACACTTGTAAAGTCAAAGTTTCTTAGAATTGGATCATTGGCCATTTACCTTTCATAAGAGTCAGTGTGAGGTTTAAGTTAGATAAACCTTTCGTGCTGGGTCTTAGAAGAATTGATAGCATCCGACCGGGCTATCGGCGTCGGCTATAATTCCTCCCTAAACCAAGTACTAATAGTTTATCCATATCCGAATATGAGGACGCGCAGGACGCCCTTCATCAATGCCTAGCTATGAGCTTCGATTCATCGGCCGACGACAGGTGTAAAAGGGTAGGTGGTCCTATCAAATTTAGGTCCTACTCTCTATTGATTTATATGGTGACCTAATTACAATTATTTTCCTTATTATTTATACACAGTCAGGGCCAGTAAAGGCCGTAAGGAAAGGGGACCATAATCCCCAGGGGGCCATAATTTATTTTACACCGGCCAATTGGGTATTTTGTTCAACCTTAAATGATGCAAAGTCTGAACAAATTCGGAATAACATGTTGAGACACCACAGTTCCCGATTCTAGCAACTACTCAATCACAAATTCAAATTGAATGAACGAATAATCTGAGTAAAACATAAATGAGACAATCAGGCTGCAGTACCAAATTAATTAAAAATGTTGATTAATTCACACTACCCTACCTCGACAGCGCATGCGCGAATTTTTTGGCTTTCAACCACGTCGCTTTTGAGTATTTCGACTGCTTAGTCAAAAGGTTAATACATTTGGTGCTCGGAGTGAGTCAATATTGCTATTCGCTGAACTACAGTGGTGCAATAGTGAAGTCCATGTTCCAAGTTATACGATAGTTGAAGAAAGAATGTAAATAATATCGTTTTAAATTTTACAATATTTGATATGTCATAGTACACGGTACACAGATGCAAAAGTTGATCAATACGGGGTACAAGGAATGTAAATTGCTCAATAGTACAGGGAGCGAGAAAGTAAGCTGATTATACAGACATACTATGTCCGATCTCATGTACATTTACGTTGCAAACAGTGAAAATAATGCTAAAAAGGCCGCCTGTTGATGCTTTGAGGTGTCATCAATTGTTATTTAATCCAAATAAAGTAGACATTATTTTGTAGATTTAGACACGGGCTTTCAGGTCGTATACTAGTATGCATTTTAGTCATTAAAGAACGCTGGATTATACGTGTTACTAGGGTATCAAATTGAAATGAAATAACGAAATTAAATATGAACACGTTAATGACAAATGACTATCCGCTATCAGGATTAATGACTATCCGCTATTCAGAATAATTAAAATTGCCTGAACTACATGTAAAGAATCTTTTTATATAACCCCTTGAATGGTCTAATTCACTATCGTCCTCAAAAAACGATCATTTAAAATATTTTGTTCAAAATACCACCATGCCACGACTTGAGAGCATTTTGTTCTTCACGATTTGCTGTAGCGCTGATATGACATCGTATTTCTCTATTATTGTAAAAAAACTAATACCAGATCGATGTAGTCTTATATGACGTGTTGAATGTCAGATGTTTTTGGATGGTATCTGCTCCAGTGATTTTGCATTTAATCATTAAACGCTCATCACAAGACACCTCGAAACAAACATTATCCTCTTTGTGACAAGAAGAAAAATGTTTCACAATATGTTATGCCTTACGGCAAAGTAAAGATACATTTCTGGGACGACGTTTTTTGCATCTTAAGATTTTAGAAAAACAATTAATTCACAAAAATACAGTTGAATAACATACTGGAAAACGTATCCACATATAACACGATGACACGCAGTTTAAATAACAGTTAACTGGGTTTTTTGTTACATCAATGTAACATTTTCGAAGGGAAACTTACATGCTCCCTGTACGTTGATAGATTTACTTAAATGTATCGTGTATTGCATTGAGTTTTGCTTCACTGCACCCACTATTATCTATCTTTGCCTATAGTGGTTTTTTGCCAACAATATTCTACAAACTGCTTGATGAATTAATTCTATGTCTGGTAGAATACTAGAAATAAATGTAAAATGCATTTTACGTTCAGAAATATGGAATTAAACCCACGTCCTCCATTTGCAACTTAGCTGTACCCTGTTTCCATTTTAAACGTGGTCACGTGGTAGGGTAGTGTGTAATTCCCACTCGTAACACATGGTACAATAATTGTTTTAGGATTCTGATTTAATTTATGATGACCATGTAGTGTTGTCTCATCTCGTGATAGCTCAGTTGGTAGAGCGGGGGACTGTAGTGGCTAAACCTGTCATCCCTAGGTCACTGGTTCGACTCCGGTTCGCGAGAGAGGACATTTTTAAAAGTTTGTCATGTATAATCTCTTTCATTATATTCAAAATCCATATATCAATTCATGTAATTATGAAAACCAATAACTCATCTCGTGATAGCTCAGTTGGTAGAGCGGGGGACTGTAGCGTCTAAACCTGTCATCCCTAGGTCACTGGTTCGACTCCGGTTCGCGAGAGAGGACATTTTTTGAAGTTTGTAATGTATAATCTCTTTCATTATATTCAAAATCCATATATCAATTCATGTAATTATGAGAAGCAATAACTCATCTCGTGATAGCTCAGTTGGTAGAGCGGGGGACTGTAGCGTCTAAACCTGTTATCCCTAGGTTACTGGTTCGACTCCGGTTCGCGAGAGAGGACATTTTTTAAAAGTTTGTCATGTATAATATCTTTCATTACATTCAAAATCCATATATCAATTCATGTAATTAATTATTCCAGTATCTCATCTCATGATAGCTCAGTTGGTAGAGCGGGGGACTGTAGCGTCTAAACCTGTTATCCCTAGGTCACTGGTTCGACTCCGGTTCGCGAGAGAGGACATTTTTTGAAGTTTGTCATGTATAATCTCTTTCATTATATTCAAAATCCATATATCAATTCATGTAATTAAAAATACCAATAACTCATCTCGTGATAGCTCAGTTGGTAGAGCGGGGGACTGTAGCGTCTAAACCTGTCATCCCTAGGTCACTGGTTCGACTCCGGTTCGCGAGAGAGGACATTTTTTGAAGTTTGTCATGTATAATCTCTTTCATTATATTCAAAATCCATATATATTTATATATATCAATTCATGTAATCAAGAATTCTCATTTCGTGATAGCTCAGTTGGTAGACCGGGGGACTGTACGTCTAAACCTGTTATCCCCCGATCACTGATTCGACTCTGGTTCGCCAGAGCGACGTAGTTTTTAATCTTATTACAAAATTTTAATATGTTTTCACCCGAGAAAATTCACTGTATTTCATATTTGAAGTTTGAATGCTTGTCCAAATAAAAGTTTCACCAAAAGTCTTTACAAGCTACATGGTTTTCAAAATGAATTTTGCTTATTTCACTTCAAAAATAGTAAATGCGTTATCAAACAGTTTATCGGTGACATTACCTGGTAATTAAAAAAGTAGATCATTGTTTTTCAAAACTACTATTGCTGATATTGTTAATTTGCAATACTTACAAACTAAGATAACCTGATACAACAAGATTTACTCTAAAAGACGGTGATTCGAAACGACTACTTACCAACAAGTTTCTTAAACAGTTGGGACACGTGTTGTAATAGCACCAAATCCATACATTGTTCTGGATGAATATCGTCCGAGATCACATCTTCAAAAGACGTTCTATTTGCAATTAGTCTAAGTTGCTGGTGAAGAACTTCATTCTCACCGGTCTACAATGACAGGATAGTAAGTAAAAAAGTCTTGTTTTAGGCATATGCCGCACTGAATAATGCCCCAGTCACATTTGATCTACGGCAACCGTATGGTGGCCGTATGTTTACAAAGAAAAATGCAAAATAAAATATAGGGATATGCAGTACAATGTAGTTTTATTTTCATTTTATGAAGCTACGGCCGCAGTGCGTCCGCCGTAGAGCAAATGTGACTGAAGCTTAAACTATTTATCTGATTTTCAATTTATTAAGGAAGTTGTCAGTTAAATCCGTAAACATGGTGTTTTCAATAAAGACACAAGTGCGTCTAACATATATATGACAGTTATCTGTAACTGTACCTGATTGTAGAGATAAATTAAATGCAAGATGTTCAGGTGTTGTCTGAGGTATATACCACTCTCCAGCAGCATCTTGACGAACTCTACTTTGTCGTCTCGTAGTGCATTGATAAACAGATCCACAAGAGTGATGTCTTGAATACGTACAGCTTCTTTAGCCTGACGCTTGCTCAGTGGTTTACTGTATCTGGTGATATAATATATAGAGGATTATGAATGTACACCTGTCAGAAGGAAAAGGCCAAAAAGTTGTTACAGAACATAGCGAGAAAAATGAAAACACCTAGGGGTAATCGGTCATTAGGAAGAAGCAGCTATCCCATGTTCCATGTGAAAAGAAACAATGTCTGATACCCCCTTCCACGCTCCACTATTCGAGTACCATTATCGCAACAACCGGGACCATATCGTCGAGGGACATTTCATTCATACTGAAGTCATCACAGTACATGTTGAAGAATAAATATGAATATGACAAAAGATGACATGAAATGCCAGAAGTTGATTTTCCCTAACCCCAATTCACCGTTTATTTGTATTATAAAATAAACCTATTGATTAACAAATAAGAAAATATATCAATTATATCAAAAGAGCCAGGTGACAGTTAGAATTGTGTGTATTTTTCTGAATTGATATCCATATATACAAGTTTAATATACGTATACAATATTTAACAAGTACACCAGAATATCTTCTTTTTGGAATTATTTTCGAACTTTTTATGTACGACTTACTCATAATCGATTATTGACTTGGCTATATCAGCACGTTGCCATTTGTAAGCATATTGGAGTTTTTCTATTGGTGACATCACTTCCTGTCCTCTCACTGGAATAATAAACAAGTTATTGACAATATTAATGGCAATAAAATGGACGACTTTTTCATTTAGTAAGATAATAGTACAGTACCCTACACAAGTTTTTGTCACATATTTTGATGCACTGTAGAATTTTCCAGGAGGATTTGGCTTGTGACATTTTGTGTACTTTAATTTGCAGAATGTTTGACATTTATGCAATTTTCTATTTTTTGAGGGGGGGGGGTATATGTCATCCAAGTCATTGAGTGAGTAATAGGGAAATGCCACTGTTTAAAACAGCAATTCAACATTTTTATTAAAACCTTTACTGCGTGCCTGCAAAGTATGATTTGTCCATCTAGAGGTATTACTTCATAAAATGATGTAGAATCTTTTGGGAATCTAAATAAGCAGCATACAAAAAGTGATGTTGAAAAAATCTGTGTCATCTGCATGGAGTTAAGAAAAGTAAAACACAATTATAATACAAACAAACACCTTATATTAACGTACTGTTTGTCTTAAAACAGCAAAATAGAAAATGAGAATGGCATGATCTATGATGACGTATTTGGCAATATTTGGGGGATTAAGGGCCAAATTTGGAAAGCATGCAAAAGCGCATGACATGAGGAGGCAATCAAAATAAGAAATAGCTAGCAATATATATCAATTTATTCATTTCAATTTGACATTAAAAAGGTTTCATATTTTCCCTCAAAAGTAAAAATCATCAAAACTATTATAAGCTTATTATAAGATTGAATAGCACTAGATTATAAGATTGTAAACACTAGGTAGATTACACATTACATGCTTCAAAATATTGCTCATGAGGTACAATAAATCAGCATGCTACTTACTGTGATGACTAATATACGGAGCTCAAAACAAAAATGGTGAAGTTTTGTTAAATTGTACTTTTAGAAGACATTTTTTACCATGTTATATACCCCTTCACTGACGAGCTGGTCCAATGTGGGTTTCGAGCGGCGTGTACGCCTCATTTTTACAAAGGCTTGCGAAAATGCAGCAACAGTTTGCAGTAATTTGCATTTTTAGTACTTATAATTAATCGATGTAAATGTGAAAAATATACTTAGGTTTAATCTGAATAGATAATTTATATTTTACCTCTAAACAGAGTTGTTAGAATGGCTACATCAAGGTCGTCACGTTCATTGAAGTCAAATAAAGATATCTGAAATACATCCATTGCGAATAAGTCCAATAATATAAATCATTCGTTTAATAAGTGCCTAGTAATTTCAGTAAAATCACATTTAACAAAAGTAGAAGGCATGTTTGTTTAAATAATGTCTGTGTTTGTGTCGTCAGCCGACTGACTGTGTTAACTAGCTTCAGTTGTTGATATACTTACAAAATGTATATTATCTCTACTGCAACATTTCTTTAAATTGTCTAAGATTTCTGTCAGGAGTTCTTGGTCTTCTATCATATATGGGTAAGCTATTTGTAGCTCTTCTTTGAGATGGTCGGATATTTCTGCTTCCATTTTCTCAATAGTATCACTATAACCATTTTCTCTAGTGGACCAAACAAACACTACTATTACGTAACATGTAGTAGACACACAGTTGACAAAACATGAGACTCGTATCCCAAAAAGTTGTTAAAGGTTTCATATCATAAAACAAAGAACTTTTATATCCACCTATTCAATATCTTTAATACTATCGCGCGCGTTCATTACTTGGAACCGATCAACTTACCTCTCTCGAGCATAGACGTCCGTGTATCTCTTATATGCATCTGCCAGTATATTTGCACCGACGCCAGTGTTTACTGCGATTACTGCTGGAATCCCTTCTTTGAGTGTACGAAGCATCTGATCCATGTAGCCCATCTTCTCCACTCCAACAATAAGTTGCACACATGGGACCCCTTTCTCTGAAGGTGATTATCAATGTTAATTTAAAAAGAAGAAATAACTCGTTTATTTTTTAACCCCTAATTTGAACAGGAAAACACTTTGTGAAATTGCAAAAATAAGATGTAATATACCCGCTTATTTGGCAATAATGAGGTATACAATATTTCTTTAAATAGTGCTTATCATAGCATATTATCACGGAACAAAGTATACACTGTTCTGATTTTAGAATGACTTCTGTAACATTTTTTAAACTTAAATCGTGTTTTATTTATCATTGTATAACAGAAACAACAGCAGACGTGACTGAGTAATAAAACTATTTCATTGAATGATTAATTTACTTACCATTTCTCATATAGACTTCAAATCTTGCTCTAAGCTCGTGTTCGCCCTTTTCCTTTCCTCTGTAGAAACCCTTTGTGCCATCATCCACAAGAAGGAAGTTGGTATGGTCGGGGTTTAGGGAAACTATTTTGTTTGTTATTACTAGATTTTCAGCAGTATAGTTTGCGACATATTTTGACTAAATAGAAAACATTTATGAGTAGGGACGGGAGTAAAGAAATTAGGTTGCATGTAAGGTTTAAATCAATGAGCACAATATATCAATGATGTAATGGAAAAGTAAGATACATGTGTGATTTGTGAATGATCACATATACCTGTACAGTAGTTACCATTTGGACAAAGTTCTGACGGGTAACTTGGGTATCAAGACGTTTCACCCCTTGGACGTTTCAACCCACTAGACTGTTCACCCCTGGACATTTCACCCACTATACGTTTTACCCATCAGACGTTTCACCCCCTAGACAATATTTGAAATATATAGGGGTAAATTATAAAGGGTGAAACGTCTACGAGGTGAAATGTCTAGGGTGTGAAATGTCTTAAGGGGTGAAATGTCCAGGGGATGAAATATCTAAGGGGAGAAATGTCTGGGGGTGAAGTGTCCAGGGGGTGAAATGTCTAGGGAATGAGATCCCTAAGGGGTGAAACCTCCAGGAGGTGAAACGTCTAAGGGGTGAACAGTCTAGGGATAAAAAGTCCAAGGAGTGAAACGTCTAGAAAGTGTTCTGAAGTAACACATTGGTTTACCAAACAATTCACAGGCGGTCTAGGTGTGTGTGTGCGTGTGCGTGTGGATGTATCTCATAAATTATGAGTCTCATATTATGGTATTTGCACTCACCTCACGAGATTTATTGACCAGACCCTCATGGTCTATGTATCCCCAACTTGCAATTCCTATACAACTGATCTGATTATAGCGCTTCATCGTGCCCGTCCAATTGTGTGTCTGTCCCTCTTTCACCGCCTGGCCTACTGCCTTAATTACCCCAGTGTGCGTTCCATTGGTCACCACCCACATCGTAACCTGCTTGGCAACCTAGTTTTAACCATCAATATACAATGCTATCATATTACATAACACCAATTTCTTGTAATGATGAACATTGTTAGAGTTTTCATGACAAAATATTTTGTTAACAATTTTTCTATTTTGAATGTTTATAATCAGCTAACAGTAAGTTTTGCAAAACGCTCATGGAAAACATAAGTGAGCCAAACAAGTTAATCAAAAATATTTTTTACCTTGACAAACCCGTCATTAACAATTCGTTTCCAGCGTCCTCTCCATGTGCTCATATCGAAGCTTTTACCGCCACCTATGATGCTGATGATGAACTGAGGTTGCTCTAGCTGCCAATGTTGCGTGAGCACGTCATAGATCAGGTCACTGGGCGTATCATCTGCCAACCGCACATACTATGAGGAATTAAACGACAATGGTTTACACAATTTATTATTCTTTTCAATAACTAATTCTTCTCTGTAAGTATGTACTATAAGTTCTTTCTAACTTTATTTTAATTTGTGTCCTGATGTAAGTATAGATATTCAAACCTTTTCCAGAACAGCTGTTTCATAATGTAAAAGAATATGTACCTCGGCAGTTTGTTGTCCTATCCCTACAAAGTTGATATGACCAAAGGCGTCCGTTATTCCATCTGTCTCAACATCTTTCCTGTAAAAACAAGTCGTAATATTATGTATGTTAGGTTATCAATTCTCATACAGTAATATGCATTTGCAGGACATTTCGTCTCGGAGCAACTATTAAATAAATCCCTATATTACATCTAAACAAGATAATATTAGGAGGGAATTCTTGGGTGATTACCCTTTTCAGGTAGTAACTGATCATTGGAATTTGGTCGTTGTCAAAGCGCACCAGTGCTCATAAGACATGGAAGACATAGCCTAACCTGTCGATAGCTATTCCTATGTAAAACCTACACAGGCCAAAACAAGGTGGGCCAAAAAATGTTACTTTTAAAGTGTAATAACTCATTTACAATTGGCATGATAAGTCTCAAACTTCCTTAGATGACTGTGAATTGATTAAAGTTTTGTTCCATATTTGAATTATTTGACCATTTTTGGCCCACCCTTGTATGTAACACCGAATAAGCTGACGATTTCAGAACGGAAACCCTATTGGTTCCTTTGTTTCTATTCCCGTATATGCTACTTCAATACAGTTTACTTTAGCAAAAGAATTTTATAAAATCTAAATTAATTTGTGGTGTGTAACTAAATTTTCACTTACATGTTCCAAGGCTCAGCATTATCAGGTTTGGCATTCTCTGTGTTGTGTCCTGTAGCACCTGCGCCTGTACCTAATTCATTCACACCATGCTTTCCCAATGGCTCCACCGCTTCTTCAGTTGCATTGTGTTTACTGAGCAGATAGCCACACTTGCATTTGGACCTAATGAAGAGAAAAATACCTAAATGAACATCATTATGAGAGTGATCATTTAAATATAAAGTGTTAAATCGACCTAAGATGAACTTTCAATTACATCTTCCGAGCACTATTGTTTTGTGTAGGTTTATTATCAGTACAATTCACTTGATGTGTAATAGCTGTAAGTATATTCCTTAAATCTGAGATTATTTTATTTATATTTGAAACGGTTACTTAATCTCTTGTGAACTACATTCAGCAAACTATTAAAACTTCCACAGATGACGCTGTTTAAAAAATCTCAAATTCATGATGGTTGGTTGAAATCAAGTTTTATCAGCACAATCGCTTTTTGTGATGTTGGTTGTCAAACCTATTGAAAATGTAAAATCGAGTAGATGATACAAAAATAATCGGATCTTTTGACTTCGGTGGCAATTGTCATCGTGATCTTTCGGGTTTAAGGGCACAAATGGAACACTGCAATCCCGATGTACAGGGTGTCCCGAAAGTATGGGACCCCCCTAGGCAGACATATACCAGTGTCATCATAGTATGTGTCATATATCATTTTAAAGCTTATCCAAAGTTACATTGATTCGCCAAGTATAATGGTTCAACTCTCAAATGTGAGAAAATTACAGGCATTTCAAAAGTTAGTGTTCGGTCAAAATTAAGTTCAATTTTACACCAAATCACTCATCAATATGTCCTCCCGGGCCATCTTAACAGCAGCAATTCTTTTCGAGTCGGATGGATATTGAGTTGGAAAAAGAGAACTTTGGGGGTAGAAACTCTAAGGAAACTCTTTTAAATCCATCTATCTTGATAAATGATTTTATTTATTTATTTATTCCCGAGTCGATAGTATTCTTCATGTAAGACTTTTAACTTACTGTTATGTTTTATGTCGGAAGCCATTTCGTTGATTGGTTATGATTTTATCGATTGTTTCACAGATGGCCAAGTTTATTTTGATGATTTTTAAATTTTAGTAAGCTAAGGAAGAGGTGCGTTTATTGGCAAATACCCCTATGGTCAAAATGAATAATTTTTAGTTGTAACATGAAGAATAGGATGTCATATAACTCTTTGGAAAATATTAAAGTGCTCGGGCACACATAGGCTGAGATAGGGACCATTTAGTTCAGTAAGGTTGTATTGACTTACATGGGGCTGTGCATCATTGACTTAACTTGAGGATATCAGCAGATCCCAATAGAGGCCATTGGTTTCCATTGATTATCACAAAAACACCAAAAATACACTATGACCTGAATCGATTGCAAACTTAATAATTTCACAATATGACACAAATGGTTTATCTCATCAAATGTGCAAATATAAAGTTTGCAATCGATTCAGGTCATACTTTAAATTAAAATATTGTACATTTTTTCATTAATTTTTTCCCAACAAAATGGCTAGATACAAAAATGCTCCAAAAACAACTTTTACACTTATCAAATATCATACAAGTTTGTAAAACCAAAGATTTTACTATTATAATTCATTATTTAGTAACATATTTGGATAAGATGTAGGGATGCGTAGGATGCAAATGGATTTTGATAAGCATAAAAATACTTCCTGGTTTGGAATCTATGCCTCTACACTTCATGATTGAATTTTGACCCTAATAAGTGGCCTATATATCAATACAGTGCTGAATATAACAACAAGATACTAGTGTGCATATATATGCATCATGATACACCATGACATCTCATTTCTTCTCAGCCCTGAGATGCCATGATATAATGAGCTTGATTTGGCGATCCAGGAGAGCCCAAAATTGAGGATCTTTGAGATCTTTCATCCCAGCTCATATTTCATTTAATTGGGGTCATTAAACTTGTGTACACATGCCTGTGCTAATATCTGCTGTTAAATACAATGCCTATTATGTAATAAATTGACATTAGGTAAATAATTACATGATAACTATCACACTTATTGACAGTTACAACTCTTCCCATCTGATGTGCTCAGATCACAGAATATGCCTCATAATATCAGAGCATGTTTCAGGTGAAACAGAAAGATGCTATGAGTATCAGAATGATATATATGTAATAATAAAGGCAGTATACTCATTTTAAAAAATCAGATGAGTTAATTTTTTCATGGGGAGATCATAATCACGCGGTACTAACTCACCGGGGCGTATCGATACCAAAACGCCCCGCAATACTGTTAATTTGAATTTCAAACCTACCCTTTCTTAGGAAAATCAATGATTGTGAGTCTCACAGTACACCGTTTTCCTTCAAACTTGTTCCATTAAAACCTTCACAGATACCTTTCACTCGAGACATTGTTTTTGAGTACAGAGTCACTCGTTTTAGCGGCGTTTTGGTCCCCAGATGTGAGAAGATGCAAATCTTCAGAGATTTCAACCAAAAGCCTCGATATGTCGCCAGTTCTTTTATTATTCTCCCCTATATTTTGCACAAGGACTCCCATTACAACCCTCCATCTCTGCATCAACATATTTATTACATTAAACGCAGCAATTTCCTGCGCATCTGTTCGAAATTGATCAAAACGCCCCGTTCTCTTCCAAAACGCCCCGTTGTATCTATACACCTTATCTAGATACTGACTGGACTGCGGGGCGTTTTGGAAGACAACGGGGCGTTTTGGTCAATTTCGAACAGTTGCGTTGGATTTTTCAAAATTCCTGCGTTTCATGTAATAAATATGTTGATGCAGCGATGGAGGGTTGTAATGGGAGTCCTTGCGCAGAATATGGGGGAGAGTGATAGAAGAACTGGCGAGATATCAAGAATTATGGTTGAAATCTCTGAGGATTTGCAACTTCTCACATCTGGGGACCAAAACGCCACTAAAACGAGGGACTTTGTTAACAAAAGCAATGTCTCGACTGAAAGGTATTTCTGTGAAGGTTTTAATGGAACAATTTTGAGGAAAAACGGTGTAGTGTGAGACTCGCAATCATTGATTTCCCAAAGATAGGGTAGATTTGGAATTCAAATTAACGGTTTTGCGGGGCGTTTTGGTTTCGATACGCCCCGTCGAGTTAGTACCGCGTGATAATGGAGAACGCACTACTTCCTTTACCAAGCAATCCGAGCAATCCAATGCTTCAGAAATCTTGAGAAAGGTTCTGATTAAGTGTTATATAATCTGAGTCTGTACAGACTTATTGCATAAAACAACATAACAGGAATGTTCCTCGCCATGCTTCTGGCAATTGGATTTGAAATAACACATGGTGATACAACGAGGTTATTTTCATTAACTACAAATCAATAGAGTAATTGTAGAAGGGGCCATACAAGAGCAGACTGACATATAAATAATTGTTAACTGTAGTATAGTAGTCTACAGTACTTTTGCCCCTATGATTCAATGTGTATTACTTTTTTTCTCAAAGCATACATTCCTCATTACTTTTTAACCAGCGCGATTGGCAATACCTTAAGTCGTTATCAAAGATAGGTATTGTGACTTGATCCAAGGATACATGGCTATCAATTTTATCAAATACACTTGATGCATTGATTTTCAATTTGCCATTATAATTTCCCAGATATGAGTTTTGGAATTAATTATTGATAAAACCACTTAAACTGATATATTCATTTGGCTGTCTCGTGCACAAAAGAACTTTCATTTATTCATGTAAAGCAGATCCCCCAGGACCAAAATAATACTAAATATTAGTAATATTACTAATACTAAATAGATTAAATCAATATATTCAGGATGGGTTTCAATTTTCAACCGGGAAATGGTCTCAGCTTTGATAAATGGGCCCATTTTTTAAAAACTGGGAAAAATATTTCAAAACAAAGTCAACATTTTTTCTTGACAAATGTTTTGTCTTTTTGAGATTTTTCGGATTTGATAAAACAAGTAGACACTTGGGTTATCTGGATACTGTGGATAGTCAGGCAAGTGTCCGATCACTTGGGTTGGGTAGGCCAGAAGAGTTGGGCTTTCACGTAATTAAATATCAAACGTTATTTCCTCCACAAAGGATTAAGTTAAGCAGCGACTAATAACACACTTACTTGTTTAACCTCCGCGGAACAAATCTCTTGCAGCTTTTTTTCTGAAGCCTCCTAATGACATCATAGTTCAAATCAACATCCAGGCTATCCTATATCAAAAATGAAATATTATCAAGTCCTCCCTCACTTGAACTCGAGTCCAACGTGCCGTTCCATGTTTTTAACATAATATTTACGATTACTATGATGAGATTTTATATCACACATGATACTCTAGTATCTCTGTGTATTTAAAATGCAAATACATTCAAATATGAAGTACAACGCATTCACCGCCACTTTCAGTACATACTTATACGTACTACCCATCCACCGTCACTTATACGTACTCATTCCCCGTCTCTAACGTATAGAAAGAATGAAGAATGAAGGAGTGTGAGGAACATGTCGATAATGTTCAATGCAGATCAGTATTATGTACACACCAACGTTCAAGATCACTTACCCCAGATGATGCCACCCTGTCGTAAGCCTTCATGTTTGTCATCTCCATTATTTCACAGCGATCGTAATCACAGAAATATCATACTAGTATCTACATAGAAACATGTTACCCGACTGATCGAATTGTCGCTGCAGACAGACTCAAATTAACCTTCAATGCTTCCTTTACAGTGCATCATAGCGCAGAGAAATCAATAGGAGCTGCCAGCTAGGACGAAATCCAATTTCTTATTTTAGAACAAAACGCTGTATTGGCTTTCATACATAATAATCCCAACTGATATGAATCGTGATGAATGCTATGAACATATGTAGAAATAAGGAACGCTTGCATATATCTGTAGATTATGCAACATGATGGCATAAATTCTTAACAGTCAAAATGTTACACAGGGTGTCCCAAAAGGATACACAGATATACATGGAATAATTTAAGGTGGGCGATGAAGGAATATTTTTGAGATTTAATCATCTTATCGTAGAGCATCAGAAGATTTTCTATTTAGTTCTAGAGAAAAGTTTGTTTTAGTGCCACAACCCATATTTCACAGTTGTACCACAAACAGAAATGGAACTCTAGGAGTCTAATCACGCCCGGTGATCGTGATGTTATCATAACTAAATTAATGTCATTGCTGAATTTATAAAATAAGTTTCCATACGTAAAATAAAAAATAATCGAAAATAATTAAAATGGGACGGAGGGGGGGGGGACGGAGGGGGGGGGGACGGAGGGGGGGGGGGCGGAGGGGGGAGTAATAATTCTATAAAGTGAAACAACTTCACACGAACTCTTGTATTTGAAAAATGAACTCATTAACTTAGTAAGAAACTGGATGATATAGCCCTGGAGACTGAAAATTGGGGACATTTGGAGTAAAAGGACTTAAAGTCGCGAAACATCTCTAATCATGTCTTGTATACATATTGCTCCCCCCCCTCCGTCCCCCCCCCCTCCGTCCCAAATTCATTATTTTCGATTATTTTTTATTTCACATATGGAAACTTATTTTATAAATTCAGCAATGACATTAATTTAGTTATGATAACATCACTTACAAGTATTTATTACAGGTCGTCCAGACCTTTGTTGCTTGATTTATAGCAAAAACGTTGATTTGTGCCTGTTGATGGCCTTGCGCCTTTTTTAATAGATCCCATACCTTAGATGCGTATCGTTTCAGAAAAAATCCCAGAAAACCTAACATATTCTACCATACCGTGCGCCTATCCATTTAGCAATTCAATAGTAAACTTTTTCTTGAAAAAATAAATCTTCCAGATTTGTTGAATTTCCTAGCAGAAATTGCCTGCTCCCCCCTCCGTCCCATATTCACGATCACCGGGCGTGCTAATGAACAATTTATTATCATTAATATCTAAACGCTTCATCAAACTCATTCTGTTTTTTTGTAGTACAACTACTCATTGTTCAATGTTTTAAATTGCAATAATTTCTGCATGATAGGGGCAATATAGAGAATGGCATCTAAAATGTTTTTCTCTGGAAGTAATGCACAAATTTCAACTGCTATTTGAACAAATGCTATTTGAAAAATAAAGTTCTCTTATCGTGTGTAAAGTTCTCCTTTTTCGATTGAGGAAAAAGTTATTCTCACTCATTTGGATATAATTGTTTTGGGACACCTTGTATGCGATAATTGCATATAACGCCGCGCCATTATCAGCAGGTTCTACAGCTTGAAGAACTATTTGTATAACTGTTTGAAATAGCAAACTCATTAATTGTTACTAGAGCTAGGGTTATAAGGTTACACCTAATCTTATAACTTTGTACTTTATAATTACCTTTTTTATTCATTCTATTGGCACATGCATATTCGTGTATAGAAATTGCGCCATATTTCATGTAGTATATAAAATTTCTGAATTAGTTAGGAAGCACAGTCCCCGCTTCAGTAGGATAAAGACGACCATAAGGTCGTTAATTTACGTCTTTAAAGGTCGTTCTTTTCTGTTTCAATAACGTCAACATTGTGAAAACCCATAATGAATGCTCCTACAAAAAGTTAAAATAGCAGTGTTATTAAATAAAATACCACCTAATTTATAATTCATTCATGATAGTATCGGTTCCTTTGTCATATTAACTTGACATAAAATAGACTTGAAATAATAATTTGTAGACGAGAATATTGCAAAAAAGTTTTTTTGTTGGAAAATGGCCACCTGGAATTCTGCTCAAGTATTATATGTATTTGAACTGTAGGAATAAACACTGCCTCAAAGTCGTCCATAACGACCTTAAGGTGACGTCAAATTACGTTCTAAAACCTCTAATATAAACGATCTGGAATGGACGCCAATTTACGACCTTACGACCGTTATTACAACAAAATGGTGTAAACATAACGACGTGACATTAAACCGTTAGGCCAGCCATATACGGCTGGGTAGGTTCCGAACCAACATAGCGTATAATCAACGCAGACGTACCATTTACATTAATAACCAAGATAATAAGTCCACAAACTTACAACATCTTAGATACTTTTTAGATACAAACCTAACATTAGGGAGTTTAAGTTTGCATATAAAATCGAAACGCCAACCTATACGTATGACCAATCGCCCATACAAATGCATCGCTTAAATATTTTCTGTTCACGTTTAGGTTGTGAAAAACATTGCAAGCTTAAACTCCCTATTATCAAAAAGATACGCAAATTTTGAAATATGGAAGTAGACATTTCGCTAATTCGCTTACATGAATTAAAACAATGAATAATTTTCTAACATAAACGTGGCAAACTCTGACTTAAAAAATCTAAACAGTGTACAGTGTAGGACGTTTGCACCTTTTAAAATAATTTCGTTAAATAATATAATAGGCTCCCCACGAATTTCGTGCAAAAGCAGAACTGTACGTATACTATACTACTATAGTATTGTCTGCAAATAAACCGCTTTTTAGTTAAAAATAAACTGTATAAAAATCTTGAAATGTTTTGTAAATGATATCACCTTAGAGCAATGGGGACATAGCATAACAAGTGGCTGAGCTCGGACCATTTTTTGCTTACAGTTTTGCATTTTTATAATTATATTAATTATGTGTAGAATATCATTTCTCATTGATTTTGACATATTGTTTTTCACATTGTCTCCAACCTTTTTGTGGCGTCTGTAACAAATGTAAGGTTATTGCATTTTAATACCTTGTTTGAACAAATATTCTGCTTTGACATTTCAATAAGTGCATACTGAAGTTTCTCGTGAATGGGCACACTGGCGTATTTTTATGTATTTTTTGAAAAAGGTCATTTATTTGTAAGAACTAAAACAAAACACGGGCATGAACGTTAACAAGTATGTGACCTTTTGTCACATTTTGGCTACATCATGTTTACCCCAATTCTTTGTTCTGTTTGACACTTCTATTTTTTCCCTGACTGGTTTTATTCATTAGCTTACTACGAGCTTTACCACTAGCTTACAAAGAGTTTACCACTAGCTTTACCACTAGCTTACCACTAGCTTTACCACTAGCTTACCACTGGCTTTACCACTAGCTTACCACTAGCTTTACCACTAGCTTACTACGAGCTTTACCACTAGCTTTACCACTAGCTTACCACTAGCTTTACCACTAGCTTACCACTAGCTTTACCACTAGCCTACCACTAGCTTTACCACTAGCTTACCACTAGATTTACCACTAGCTTACTACGAGCTTTACCACTAGCTTTACCACTAGCTTACCACTAGCTTTACCACTAGCTTACCACTAGCTTTACCGCTAGCTTAGCACTAGCTTTACCACTAGCTAACCACTAGCTTTACCACTAGCTTACCACTAGCTTCACCACCAGCTTACAACGACCTTTAACACTAGCTTTACCACTAGCTTACCACTAGCTTCACCACCAGCTTACAACGAGCTTTAACACTAGCTTTACCACTAGCCTACCACTAGCTTTACCACTAGCTTACCACTAGCTTTACCACTAGCTTACCACTAATTTACCACTAGCCTACCACTAGCTTTACCACTAGCTTTACCACTAGCTTACCACTAGCTTTACCACTAGCTTACCACTAGCTTTACCACTAGCTTACCACTAGCTTTACCACTAGCTTCACCACCAGCTTACAACGAGCTTTAACACTAGCTTTACCACTAGCCTACCACTAGCTTTACCACTAGCTTACCACTAGCTTTACCACTAGCTTACCACTAGCTTTAACACTAGCTTTACCACTAGCCTACCACTAGCTTTACCACTAGCTTACCACTAGCTTTACCACTAGCTTACCACTAATTTACCACTAGCTTTCCACAAGCTTACCACTAGCTTTAACACTAGCTTTACCACTAGCCTACCACTAGCTTTACCACTAGCTTACCACTAGCTTTACCACTAGCTTACCACTAATTTACCACTAACTTCACCACCAGCTTACAACGAGCTTTAACACTAGCTTTACCACTAGCCTACCACTAGCTTTACCACTAGCTTACCACTAATTTACCACTAGCCTACCACTAATTTACCAATAGCTTACTACGAGCTTTAACACTAGCTTTACCACTAGCTTACCACTAGTTTTACCACTAGCTTACCATTAGCTTTACCACTAGCCTACTACTAGCTTTACCACTAGCTTTACCACTAGCCTACCACTAACTTTACCACTAGCTTACTGCGAGCTTTACCACTAGCTTTACCACTAGCTTACCACTAGTTTTACCACTAGCTTACCATTAGGTTTACCACTAGCTTACTACTAGCTTTACCACTAGCTTTACCATACCAGAATGGCTGCTCTAAATGGAAGGAGTTCTTGCACAATTGAGGATAAAACTGCATTGTATATTATAGATACAATTTGAAATATATAATAATCTATAATTCAACAATTAAATGGTGTCATGTTTTTAATTATTTTTATCTATTATTTTAAAGAGTTCTCGAACGACAGTAATCACTCATAACCATACATGTATGTATTATATTGTTCTAAGCAATTCAAATCCCTTTCTCAAATGTTTTTGCCCACTGAGCTTAATTGGAAAGTTCCCAAAATGAATGGCTCTTTATAAAGGGGAATTTTTTAATACACCCTTTTTTTAAAGAAACTCCCATTGGCCTAAACTCAGGTAATATAATTATGAATTTCTTGCTATTTTTACTTATTTACAGATCGTTGTAGATTGTACTCTTGTTTAAACAATTAATGCTGTTATGTATTGTATTTTACAAAAGATAAGTCCAACCATCAAACAATGTTGTTTGTGATTCCTTATTATATAATGTATATTGAAAAAAATTTTTTTAATTATGTTTCCAACAATACATTTTTGTCATATTTGTCTTAAAGAATGACTGTATGTAACATATCCTCAAGATTTAACCCTCCTTATGGAATATATCCGCCTGAAAGCATCATACAAGAGAGGTCATCCTCAGAAGAGTGTTCTTCATAGAGTAGATTCCCATCTAGACCAGATATATAACAAGTATCCATCCTCTTTTATGTGGAGTGTGTCTTCCAGAAAGTATATACAGAGTCTACACCCTCCATAGACCCATTTTTAGATCTCCATATAAACCTATTTCAGAGAACATTATCCATGCTGAGCATAAAGACACCATCCAGGAAATGACCTGCAGAATGCTAATCCAGAAAATCCCCTTATGATTTTGTCCAGCAACATTGCACTTTATTTATCGTTTGCCCTTTTGTTTAGCCATGGTAGGAAATGTGAGTGGCACAGGTAGTGTTAGGTAATATGACTGAGTAGTTTTGTCTCCTTTCTTACTGTTAACTTTACATCCAAGGGCTCTACAATGCTGTATGCACCTGCAAATACAACCACAGTAATAGTTCAGACTCTTAACATTGTAATTCACCTTATGGGGGTGCAATTACTTTTAAAACATTCAATGTCAATTATGAAATCATTTTGAAAATTTTTATTCACTTTAAAATTAGCAGAGAACTGAAAGTTATATGTTCACAATTATTTTCAAGTCATGAAACTGGTCATCTACCCATTCAAGTGGAGTGGAACAGATTATCCAGATTTGATGTAACCACAAAATGTAACCTTGACCTCAGGTAACCTTATGGGTCGTAAAGGGCCAGAGCAGCCCTAAAGGCCCTTAAAACACAAAATACCTTAATATGGACATTTGACCTGGACCAAAAACGTTCACCTCAAGTCACTTAATCATGGGTCACCAAAGCAGATATTTTTTAGTCTTTTAGTTATTAGTCCAAAGAACTTTAGGCTTAATAACCAGTATACATGGTATACTGAGTATATGAGTTTTAAAAAAAAAAATCTTTTTTAAAAATTGAAAACCATTTAGAATTCAACAACCACTTTGAAGTTCCTTCAGTCCCATGTCCTTATAAGGCATTATCATATAAATATGAACCAAATCCATCAACTGGCCATTTGAATTAAAATTGTGCTTTTTAAACAATTCAGCCTATTAGTATTTGAGTAATGATTACATTTTACAGAAATGGTTGCCATCTTTAATTTAGTGGACATATTTGAAATCATTATTAAAGGTCAAAAGACATAAACCTATTGGACCAAATTTCATCAACAGTAATAAGTTTACATGAAATTACATTTTTTATATAAAAACGTTGCCTATTTTTTCTTGGGAAGTGCTCCTATATCCCCAAGGCATCACCATGTAAAATTCGAACTAATTGTTTAACCAATAATTGAGTTATCAAATTTAACAATTCTGATGATAATGGAAGCCTTAATAAAATTTCTTTCTTCAGAGCAGAGTTTCTACTCTCATCAGTTATCAGCCCATAAAATTTAATCCCAATCTGTCGACTAGGTTTTGAGTTACTGCCTAGACAGAAAATTAAACAGACGAAACTTCATTAAGTGGGATGTTAAATGGATTTAAAAGTTTTGAATGGATGTAACTCCTAAAACATATGAGAAAACATACAAATAAAAAACAGACATACTTATTGACACTTAGCTTGACATCTTTCATGATTTCCGCTAGGCCAAGATGGAACTGCTCAATATGTAGGGCTAGCACGATGATATAACATACAATCTTGTCTTTCAACTTCAGAGGAATCGTTCTAGTCTTCTTGCCATTATGGTCTTCAGTTGACAATGTGAACATCTCATACAAATGACCCTTTACTGCTATGGGGCACTCAGCTGGCAAAGCATCTGGAACGTATTAGTATTACTTAAAGGCCCACTTTGCATATTTTCAATATTTTTTGGCAAAATAAGGACTTTTATTTGAATTCTATAGACTGTCCAATGTATTGGTAAGAATCGTATCTTTCATTTGACACCAACAACAGCTCAAACGGACCACATCAAAGCTTACAATAATTAATCAAAACATATTTTTGATCTGATAAGCTTTAAATATCAAGTTTTTATCAATGTCATTGAAAGATGGCGAAGTTGTTTGTATTACATGATACATTCATTTTTATAGAAATGTCACCATCTTTTAAATCAAAAGATATTAAAGACATGCACTTTGTTTAGCATGTGCATGCATGTTTAATGATCTCTGAACTTCAAATGTTTTTTTCTATGTCAGTTATTTTTTTCTTGGTTCAATATTAAATGAAAACTTGTGTCATATTCGAGCAAGTGTGTGAGTAATATGTTTCAATGATAATTTTTTTCTTTTTTCTTCTAAATCAAGTATAGTGGGCCTTTAAGTATTTAAACTCAATTCACATATATTACACTTGCCCGTAGCCAGCTTTTACCAGGGGGGGAGCTTTTTTCCAGGGGGGGGAGCTTTTTCACAATTTTGGCTAAAAATCATCCGAAAAATTCTCAGAATGGTGAAAAACTGCATGATTTTGAAAGAATTTCTGGTCAGGGGGGGAGCTTCCACTCCCCCAGCTCCCCCCTGGCTACGGGCATGTTTCATACATGAAATCAGAAATAATATAATATGGCAGATCTAAGAATCAACAATTATCACTATGTCATTGCATATCTATGTACCTGATTGGCCAGTTTAAGTCAGGTGACTGTCTGGTATTAGCCAATCCAAGAGAGTAAGATTTGAGTACTACTGATTAAAGACAAAGTTAAAAACTAAATGTACCGTATTCTCTGTAATTAGCGCCCAGGGCGTTTAGAAAATTGAAAATACATTATTTAGACCATTCTAATAAGCGCCCATGTATGAAAGAAATCAGAAATCCCGAGGAATTTCATGTATGGCAATTTTTCTTGACAAGAATGCATTTTCTTCAACATATTTTTATAATAATATGACAAGTGCTGTTATTGGAGAGAATACGGTAAAGATCGCTTAGACAATATTGACAGTGGTTGAAGACCCGTCTATGTCTAATTTATTTCCGGCACGCCCACTTTGTCATTATCGCCGATTACCTTCAATATTTCCACTAGAGACTGCTGGATATCGATCTAAAGTTATACATTATTTCTAATTTGATGAGAGATCATCATTATTCGTGCAAAAGTCGTGTAAAAGTCGAGAAACATTAAAAAGAAACCAGAAAGTTCACGACCTTGACATGCGCAGAACATCTGCGCAGTAGCTTTTGAAATTTCTGAATGCCGATAAAGAACAATTCCTTCATTCATTATGGACTATTTGGAGACAATATTAGCATGGTATGGTGTGGGAAGCACCCATCGATAGATATGTATCGAGAGGATGCATAGAATTACAAAACGCGTCGTGTTTACAGCAGTTTTAGGGTAAGTACTCTATTATCGCCCGCTCCTGGATTTTGAGAAATATTTTTTTCCTGATATATTCTTCAATTCTTGTTGATTCCTCGATGTTTCTTGAACTTTGTGAAGCGGGGTGGGCGCTTATTAGAGAGTGGGCGCTAATTACAGAGAATACGGTAGATATTATTTCTAAATTCAACTGAGGCCAAATACATGTACTCTCAAATCAGATTGCTTATTTCTAAATTCAACTGAGGCCAAATACATGTACTCTTTAATCAGATTGCTTATTTCTAAATTCAACTGAGGCCAAATACATGTACTCTCAAATCAGATTGCTTATTTCTAAATTCAACTGAGGCCAAATACATGTACTCTCAAATCAGATTGCTTATTTCCAAATTCAACTGAGGCCAAATACATTGTACTCTCAAATCAGATTGCTTATTTATAAATTCAACTGAGGCCAAATACATTTACTCCCAATAATCCAAATTGCTTATTTCCAAATTCAACCGAGGCCAAATACTCTTTTGGGTGAATAATCTTACCTTTCTTTCTGTACTGGGAATACTTTAGGTTATAGAGAATGATGAGGTAGTGGTAGTATAAAAGGCACTGAGCCCGGTGTATTCTGGCTCCTGTTTCAACAGGCAGAGCCTTCAAGTTCCTCAGCACGAAGCTTGGATATCTGAATATAATAAAATTAAATCATTAATTTGAAGCAAGTCTAACAAGCAAGTTATTTTCAAAATCTGGTTTAATGTGTATAAAATAACAAAGCTAACACCAGAATAGCCTGACAACGGTAAAGTCAGATAACATTCTCACAAATGGCGGACATAACCGTCACTTCAACTCTTCAATCACTTGTTTCTCATTTCATGGAATTTTATCGTCGCTAATTCTGTGCATGCATTAAGCTCTTGTGATGGTGTATCATATGAAATCCCAATTTCTATCAAATTGGGTTATGAATCGCCACAATATAGCATCTTCATATTGTCAATGACAACGGAATCTGAATTTGAAATAATTTACAAAGACAACAGCATATGGAAATACAGTATCTGTTGTCCTGTATCTAATTTTGATTGGTTAGATTAAAGACTTTATTTCGATGGTGAACATTATTAACAGTACACTGAGTATCAAGAGTAGACACTTTAAGGGATTGTTGTTCCAAAGGAATTTAGTCCAGGTGCTCTATTAAACATACAGTTCATGAAAATCTAATTGAAGCGACGGTTATGTCCGCCATTTGTGACAACGGTATCTGACTTTACCGTTGTCAGGCTAATCCGGTGTGAAAGCAACAACATAGAGAGAGCTACAAATGTCATTTAACCAATTTATATTTAGCCTACATTTTTCTCTAGTTGTGTGCGCATTCTTTTATAAGTCACATGAGTTTAAGTATATCATCAAATTATTCATGTATTAGTTTCACGTTTAAAGTGTGTTTCAAAAACTCAGCAAAACAAACATACATATGCCTATGCCTGACTACAAGTTTGGACTAATTTTTTCGCACATTGGCTTTTAAGTTGTTTACATTCAAGTGAGTTATTCCTTTAGAGTTTTTTTATCTGTGAATCTGCAAGGTGAGGAACTTTAAAAGTTGTTTACTTTGCCTCTGTAGTCCACTGGGCTATCTGTCCTGGCTGAGCATCTGCTAAAGTATGGGCTTCACTGGACAAACTGTACAGCACGTTATCTGGCACAACTTACATGTTAAGTTAAATAGACATCAATAGACAAAACACGCTTAAATAGACCAACTGTATAGCACATTATCTGGCACAACTTACATGTTAAGTTAAATAGACATCAATAGACAAAACACGCTTAAATAGACCAACTGTATAGCACATTATCTGGCACAACTTACATGTTAAGTTAAATAGACATCAATAGACAAAACAGGCTTAAATAGACCAACTGTATAGCACATTATCTGGCACAACTTACATGTTAAGTTAAATAGACATCAATAGACAAAACACGCTTAAATAGACCAACTGTATAGCACATTATCTGGCACAACTTACATGTTAAGTTAAATAGACATCAATAGACAAAATACGCTTAAATAGACCAACTGTATAGCACATTATCTGACACAACTTACATGTTAAGTTAAATAGACATCAATAGACAAAACACGCTTAAATAGACCAACTGTATAGCACATTATCTGGCACAACTTACATGTTAAGTTAAATAGACATCAATAGACAAAACACGCTTAAATAGACCAACTGTATAGCACATTATCTGGCACAACTTACATGTTAAGTTAAATAGACATCAATAGACAAAATACGCTTAAATAGACCAACTGTACAGCACATTATCTGGCACAACTTATATGTTAAGTTAAATAGACATCAATAGACAAAATACGCTTAAATAGACCAACTGTACAGCACATTATCTGGCACAACTTACATGTTAAGTTAAATAGAAATTATTAGACAATACCAGCTTAAATAGACCAACTGTACAGCACATGATCTGGCACAACTTATATGTTAAGTTAAATAGACATCATTAGACAAAACACACTTAAATAGACCAACTGTACAGCACATTATCTGGCACAACTTACATGTTAAGTTAAATAGAAATTATTAGACAATACCAGCTTAAATAGACCAACTGTACAGCACATGATCTGGCACAACTTATATGTTAAGTTAAATAGACATCAATAGACAAAATATGCTTAAATAGACCAACTGTACAGTACATTATCTGGCACAACTTACATGTTAAGTTAAATAGACATCAATAGACAAAACACGCTTAAAAAGACCAACTGTATAGCACATTATCTGGCACAACTTACATGTTAAGTTAAATAGACATCAATAGACAAAACACGCTTAAATAGACCAAATGTATAGCACATTATCTGGCACAACTTACATGTTAAGTTAAATAGAAATTATTAGACAATACAGACCAACTGTATAGCACATCATCTGGCACAACTTACATGTTAAGTTAAATAGAAATTATTAGACAATACAGACCAACTGTATAGTACATTATCTGGCACAACTTACATGTTAAGTTAAATAGAAATTATTAGACAATACAGAACAACTGTATAGCACATTATCTGGCACAACTTACATAGAAATTATTAGACAATACAAGCTTAAATAGACCAACTGTACAGCACATTATCTGGGACAACTTACATGTTCAGTAAAGTGACTAAATGGTATTAGACAAAACATGCTTGAATAGACAAACTGTATATAACACATTATCTAGGAGTATTTTGACATAAAAGGGGATTGGCTACACTAAGACTATGATCAGTCTAGCATGAAGACTTATTTGTTTAAGGATACCATCCTCCAGAAGGTATACATCACAGGCTCTGGTGGCAGATCTGTCAAACGGTGGGATGACAGAGGCAGTAATCTCCTCATGTTTAACAGGAGCTGCAATAAGGTAAAAGTGAACCAGAACAACGGCAACGCCAAAGCGTAGCGAATCCCATCGAACAGAAATGGCTGGCATTTTTACAAACGAAGGGCAAATATCATAAAACAACACACCAGAAAGGCCACCATTTTCAAAATGGTTGCTCACTAGCCAAGTTGTCATCAGAAGAAATAATATGCTTTTAAGTAGCCACCTCTAAAATTTTTTGAAAAATCGCACACGTACTTATAAAATAACACACGTAAAAATGGTGGCCATTTTTCAAAATGGCCGACTACTCCCCAAAGTTTTATTAGACAATGTGCCATGCTTAAAGTATTCACATATCAAATATGAACAAAATCGCTCCACTACTTTTCGAGTTATAGTAAAATACGTTAAAATGGTGGCCATTTTTCAAAATGGCCACCTTCTACCAAAAGCGTCATTAGAAATAGACGGTGTTCCATGCTTATAGTATTCACATACCAAATATGAACAAAATCGCTCCACTACTTTTCAAGTTATAGTAAAATACATTAAAATGGCGGCCATTTTTCAAAATTGTTTTCAAAATGGCCGCCTTCTACCAAAAGTGTCATAGGACAGTGTGCCATGCTTATAGTATTCACATACCAAATATGAACAAAATCGCTCCACTACTTTTCGAGTTATAGTAAAATACGTTAAAATGGCCCACCTTCTACCAAAAGTGTCTTTAGACAGTGTGCAATGCTTATAGTATTCACACACCAAATATGAACAAAATCGCTCCATTATTTTTTGAGTTACAGCAAAAATCGTAAAATGACGAGTAAAGGCCGCCATTTTTCAAGATGGCTGCCATGTGCTTTTTAATATCTACATTTGTAGCATTATTAATGTCCTTTATAATTTTTTTTACATTTAAAACATATTGCTATTACAGTTTTACATATTGCACCTAAATTACTGTAAAATAGTCACTAAAATGGCCGCCATTTTGAAATGAGTGGCCATTTTGAAAATCGGCTTTCGAGCAGAACTTCTACCCCCATAGGGTATATGTATGTATATGTATAGGGTACCACCTTGTAAGTTGTTGCAAATTGTCACAGATGCCAAACATAAATTGTTACAGATGCCGAATTCTGAATGCCAACCATGGAACACCATCCACAAAAATGTTAGAGACTAAAACAATATGTCACCACTTCTGGTGGCAACGTAAAAATGACATATTTTTAATAGATTAAGACTAAATATGTGTAGAAACATTTAAAATAGCATTTTGAACTCAAATTAAAAAGAAATATATATATTTTAAAATGAGCAGGAGAATTGTGTGGTCCTGATTTGAATCAAAGTTTGGTTAAAAAAATATTATATAAATGAAAAAATGAGAATTTCTTTTAATAAAACAAAGAAACAGTAAACATACTTCAAATTAAACAAAGGAAAATGTATTTAAAATAGCATTTTGAACTCAAATTAAAGAGAAATATATATATTTTAAAATGAACATGAGAATTGTGATGTCCGGATTTGAATCAAAGTTTGGTTAAAAAAAAATTATATGAATGAAAAAATGAGAAATTATTTTAATAAACAAAGAAACAGTATAAGCATACTTCAAATTAAACAAAGGAAAAGTGTATTTCAAATAACTGTCTCTATCCAGCTTAATGACAAACCAAAATGGTTGAAAGTGAAAACTTACTTATTAAATTTTGAACAAGAGATGGTGACCCAGTTATCATGTTTTGGGCAGCTTTTCCTACAGACTGGTCCAATACTTTTTCTCCTAGTTTGTTGTTTAATCTTGATTGCATTGCACGTTTACGTTTTGTGCTCCCAAAAACACTTGTTAGAGAATCATTCTGAAATCATGTGAATGGATTAAAACATACAATAAGAGTACACATTAAGTAAGCTGCAAATTTCATGTTGTGTGGTTCACTATGTCACATTTTCAAATTACTAAGTGCTTTTTCATAACCCTTTAGTAGTTACCTTTTGGACAAAAGATGTTCCAGAATCTGTAACATCATCAATGGATTCATCACCATGGATACAAGGCTGCATTTGAGTGATGCGGGCCTCATGAATCTGCACCTTAGAGCTGTTCTTATCTAACACTGCAACTGCATACCTGCAGACATAATGGTGTGACATATATTGGTGTGACGGTGTGACATATAATGGTGTGATATATATTGGTGCAACATATCATGGTGTGACATACAATGGCGTTACATATCAGTGTGACATATATTTTGTATTGTGTTAATACTGCTAGATAGTCACCATTTATTCCTGTCGCACTATGATAAATAAAACACTTACAAAACCCCAACATGCACATACTAATCAAGCCTAGGTTTACTTAAAACCTCACTATGTGTATTTTCAACATTTTTGAGCAAAATAAAGACTTACTTTTGAATTTCATAGTATTCTCAATGGATTGGAAAGTACTTTATCTTTCATTAAACATCAAAAAAAGCTCAAACGGGCCACATCAAAGCTTACAATAAATTATTAAAAATATTTTTGATCCGTTTTATATATCAAGTTTTACCAATGTCAATGAAAGATGGCGAAGTTCTTTGCAGTACATGATTCATTCATTTTTATAGAAGTGTTTGCCATCTTTTAAATCATCGGTTATTTAAAAACATGCACTTTGTCAAAAGTGTGCATGCACAACTAAAGATCTCTGAACTTCAAATGCTGTTTTCTATGCAAGTTATTTTTTCTCGGTCTAATATTAATGCAAATCAAGCTTTATATCATATTTGATCGAGTGTGTAAATAACATGTTTCAGTGATTATTCTATCTTTTTCCCTTTTAAATTAAGCATAGCGAGCCTTTAAATTAATAAAAATGGTCACTTTAAAATTCAAAATAAGTGGCAAAATAATAATCAGCTCTAGAACTTGATACATTCAAATAGATGTAAAAACTTGCACTGAATTTGATGAGCAGTAAAGACACTTTACTACAAATCAAACACAAGGTTTCATTTTTAATACAATCTTTGACATATACAGGGTGTTTCATATGTATGTACCCCCTCTAAAATCATACATGTAGAATTGCTACACTATCATCATGTTATATTCCATTTTGTTCCTCATAGAAAGTTACATAAGATTGCAAAGTTTCAAAATCCAAAGGTGTCCTTGAAAAAAATACAATGTATTAAAGTACAGTATATAGATACAAGGTCATTTAGGAGCAATTTCTGGTCCATTTTGAGGGCAATTTAAAGGACAAAGGACCTTATACACCCTCCATTGGGATCTCCCCATGGGAAAAAAATAATTCATCTGATTTTTCAAAATGAGTTTTCTGCTTCAATTATTACATTTATATGCACACTAGTATCTTGTTGACCTATATTCAGCACTGTATTGATGTATAGGCCACTTATTAGGGTCATAATTCAATCATGAAGTGTAGAGGCATAGATTCCAAACCAGGAAGTATTTTTGTGTCTGTCAAAATCCATTTACATCCTACGCATCCCTGCATCTTATCTAAATATGTTACTACATAATGAAATATAATAGTATAATCTTTGGTTTTACAAGCTTGTATGATATTTGATAAGTGTAAAAGTTGTTTTTGGAGCATTTTTCTATAGCCATTTTGTAGGGGAAAAAATGATGAAAAAATGTACAATCTTTTAATTTAAGTATGACCTGAATCGATTGCAAACTTCATATTTGCACATTTGATGAGATAAACCATTTGTGTCATATTGTGAAATTATTAAGTTTGCAATCGATTCAGGTCATAGTGTATTTTTGGTATTTCTGTGATAATCAATGGAAACCAATGGCCTCTATTGGGATCTGCTGATATCCTCATGTTAAGTCAATGGTGCACAGCCCCATGTAAGTCAATACAACCTTACTGAATGAAATGATCCCTATCTCAGCTTATGTGTGTCCGCGCACTTTAATATTTTCCAAAGTATTATATGACATTTTATTCTTCATGTTTCACCTACGAATGATTCATTTTGACCATAGGGATATTTGCCAATAATTGCACCTTGTCCTTGTATTGCACATTTCTAGCAGTTGTCATCATGACAGATTTCACTCCACAGGTCTGTGATAAAAAATTAGAAGGGGGTACATACATATGAAACACCCTGTTATACCATGTGATCAACTAAGATTTTAAAATCATTTCATTACTTGTAGTTTTTGTCTTCATGAAGTCTGCTGTAGCCAACATAACTCAACCTGTCTGTCTCTGCAACCTGAAATACAAAGTTGGCAAAATACTAAATCTTTGAGTGCATTTCTCTTTCCATTCTTTAAAGCAATAATATAAGTTATTAAACTATACAGTGAATAAAAAAATATGTGAAGGGTAAAATATGAATGCTGTGCCAAACAAATCTGTCTTTCACAACAAATTTGGAACCTCAAAATAATTCTCCACTTGGGAGGTATTTACCATTCATATTAAATAAAGGTCGTGGGTAACTAGGTTTTGGAAAATGTTGCACTTTTGAATTAAATGGAAGTGTTCCACTTTGCAGATTTATTGAATATGCAAGTAAAGATGGAAATGAAAAATGAACTCACCAAAGCTTTCTCTTCCTTGGAGTTCGTTTTTTCAAATAGGCTGAATGTGACATTATCAAACTTCTCAAGAGAGCCATTCTGGAAGTTGGCTGAAATAAATTAAGAAAATTACATCGAGACACCAATCCAGTAAATCACATCACCTTTTCATTATGATAACATTTTAACAGTTTCAGGGCAGAACCCGGAACTCCAATTGCAATGCTAATTTTAAATAAAAAATGTTTCAGTTTTGTTCTTATAGAGTAAAGCATTGCGACCTGAAAAATATGAATTTATAAACTGAGTCAAATTCCAAGATATTAAAAGATGTCAATGTTTGTGATAACTCATTGTTTATTGTGCCATTATCTCGATGAATCTTCAATGTTTAAAAGTATGACCCAAGTGTGAACTTAACTTTCGTCAATTATACCTAGAATCACTGGGTTTTCCTGAGAGCAGATCTCTACTGTCTTTATATTATCTGTCTTCTCTTCTATATTTCTAGGTCTTTTCCGACTTGTTGTAGTTGGAGCCATTTTTATCCAATGTCACACCAATTCTAAAGAACATAAAAAATATTTATTCATTCATAGTGAACATGTATGCCATCTGTCAATATACTGGATATTTTTGAGGAGCTGATGCTACTGGGACATTATCTACATTTGAGGCTATACATTAAAAGACCCAGAAATCAAGACAAAACAACACTTGATAGTTTACAAAACAACATATTTGAGTGTGTAAATTCTAACAAAAGCATTCAATTAGAAAAAAAACTATAATTGTTTTAGCTGTTTTAGATGTTTTCCTCAAAGATCTGCCTTCTTCTTAGAGCCTTCTTCAGTTTGAATATTCTACTTTGGACTTTGGAATGGATCAAGTCTCACAAGACTTTTGGTATGAAATTAGTCCTATATTTTGATACTTGGTATGGCATAAGTCCTATATTTGGACAATTGGTATGGAATTGGTCTTATATTTGGACATGTGGTACATGTATGGCTTTGGTATGGGAATGCATGGAAATTTGACAGTTTGGTATGAGAATATATATATATCTTAGGGTTCAGCCTAGGATCCCCGTCGAATTTTGTATACTTTGAACCCCCGGAGTTGGGACATCAAGGCAGTAATTGAGTAAAATATTTTCATGGGACATGAAGGGACAAGTTTGGATATTCGCATACTGTAGGACATCCTCGTTTTCCCTTTTTGTCCCATGTTGTCTGCTTTTGTCCCTTTAGGTCACATGAAAGGAATTCTTTTCTAGGGACATTGCCAGACAAACGGAGGCCATTTCATCATGTGATGATCATATGACCATTTTCTGACAAAATCGAAGATGGCACTTATTCAAGACATCATCGGACCAAATGCGACAAAGTCGGACAATGCACCATTTTAGATCTAAGATAACCATACAGCCTCAATCGAGACTATTATTTAGGCTAGATTGTAAGATAAGTCTAAAAATAAAAGAAATCATTGAAAATGATGGGCGATAATATGTAAATATTTATGATTTGTACCATTTAGTTCCTCATTTCGGGATTTTTAGGAGTAAAATTGAAAAAGACACATGCATGATTGTATACTGTACTGTTAAATGCTGTCATATGATAATAAATAAACATGTTATCAATGTTTACCTGTGTTTGTGTCAAAATCACTTTCGGCATGGACAATTCACCAATATAACGAACGTGAACTGAATTAACGCTCCGAGGAAATTTAATAAAACATATTTTGTTTTGTTAGTTTTGATTGAATTGAGACTGATAAATAAATATACTAGTACAATAAGATAGGATAGTTATGCTCCAGAGCTGCATTTTCAAGTTGCAACAGGACTATCAGCTAAACATTGCCGGAATAATGATTCTCAAATAATAGTTGTTCGGGATTCTAAACTAGAGATATACTGCCATCTGTAGGGAGATCACAAATCAGAAATTCAAACCAGAAACAATAAAGGAAAATTGCACAACTGTTTAGTCGTTTATGTCTCGAATGCAGCTGTTAACACTTAGTGGGTGATATGCATATCTAACACAACTATACAGGCTTTACGTTAAGTGCTTCAGTTCGTAAACTAAATAAGGTAAGGATTGTAATTAATCAACTAAAATCAAAGTGTTGAAAAATTCAAAATTTTCCAAATCCAGTCCCTGAGTCTGAAGATCCGTCTCAAAATCATTGGCTTTTGAGTCTATTGAAACCTTATTTAAAATGAAATCTCCCAAGTAGATCAAGCAGAAGTGGACGCATGCTTAATGAAATAAAATTTATTAAAAAACAAATCAGAGGCTCTGTTGCATGGTTGTTGGCAGTTCTCTTTCCTGTAGCCAGGTTTTACCAGGAGGGGGAGCTTTTTTCCAGGGAGGGGGAGCTAAAAATCATGCGAAAAATTCTCAGAATTCCCCAGCTCCCCCTCTGGCTACGGGCCTGGTTCTTCTATTTTACGAATTTTGCAAGGGTCTTATATTTGCAGTATATCTGGCCAGAATAGCAAGATAGAGGTTTGAATTATTTTTCCTATATCATTTAGGAATGTTATCTTAGGCTTGTATGATTGGCAAACCTTGACATTATATGATTTTTCTCCAAGTTTGCTTACTTGGTAAACATTTCTAATTTTGTCAATTTTGCCATATCAAACAGATGATTAGGTATACTAGACCTGTTCCATTATTGTCAACATATATATATATATATCAGGGTCGTGATGACATAGGAACTTGAACAAAAATTGCACCTACTGATATCATCAAAGCATTGAAAAACCGACTTGGTGGAAATTTTTTCGAAATTTGCCATTTTGAACAACCAGATTGCAGCAATTTGGACCACACCTACTTTTTGCCTGACACCTCAGGTTACGTTATTGAACTTGAATAGTTATATATCATGATTTGAATCATATCTGCATACTGACTCTGCTTCTACATGTAAATTGTCTAAGTCAGTGTGAATTCATACTTCCATTTGATTGGTTGACATTTTATTGCAGAATCATGGGTACCGAAAAGGCCGAGCTCATCTCACTCATACAGGACGCTGTGTTGAAGCTTTGCAGCCAGCGTGTGAAATTTGAACGTGCTTTAGAAATAGATGGCATTATATGTGTTAATGCTGGGAACGATTCTCCAGAGATTGTCGTAAAAATGCATCGCACGGTGGTAAAACCAGAACACAAACAATCATTTGATACGGATGAGGAGAATACATTAACGCACACTAACTTACCAATATCAACCCCAATACAACGTGCGGGATCACCAAATGGTGAAAATAATGGAAAAATGACAATAAGATCAGCGCCACTTTTGCGCACATTGAAGCCAAAGTCTGAAGAAATGCCTAGTCCAATAGAGCGTCAGCCAATGAGTGAGGGGGAGGAGCAAATGGCCACGCCACCTGATATGGAAGAGTTCCGAAGAAACTTGTCTGATAAAGAAGATGGAGGTATTAACATTACGCAGTTAATAAGATGAATTAGTTAATTAGATTAATACAAATTAGATAAATTGATGCACACAAAGTTAAACCTCTGTCTGTTAACCCTTATTCGATTGGTATTCATTTCTAGTGTATACATCAGTTGAAAATTAATAACATACACATGATAATTATTTTCAATAAGTTTAGATATTGAACATGCATTTGCATGCCATATCATCATCTTACATCCATTTGTAATTGAACTGTAGTAAATTATGATTTACAAGTTAGTAAAAGCGCTAATAAATTCAAATTTAATGATCAGTAATTGTGTCATTGTGACACATAAATTATAGATATTTCACTGTACAGGGTGTCCTAAAATGAATGCAACCCATACATAATGACAATTTCATATTAATGCCTTGTATTAGCTACTTTATTGGTTGCATTCATTTTGTGTCACCCTGTACATGTATTTACATTTTGCTCATTTCAGTTGACAGTCTCGACTCTAGCCAAAGTTCATTGAAGCGTAAAATGGTGCAAGATTACAGCAATAGCGGTAATAAACATCCACGGCTGGCAGACACAATACCAGGGGGCCTAGGGGATGGTTACATAGGGGCCAGTAGCATAGACCACACTCCCAGAGCAGGTAAATTGTTTATATATGGGCCAGTAGCATAGACCACACCCTAGAGCATGTTAATACAGTATAACCTGTAATGAAGAACACCTCAATAAGTTGAACATGTCAAAGTCCAGTTCCCCATTACCATTATGTAAGATAATCATGTAAGTGGAACACCTTGTAAGTAAAACACTTGATATTCCAAAGGTGTTCCACTAAGACAGGTTTTACTGTACAGAGGCCAGAAGCGTAGACCATGCACTCCCAAAAACATGAAAAAGAATTTTGGAAAAAAAAAATTTCGAATTTTTTTCCATATGTACTCATCAAAAAAGAATCAAATATTTTTGTTTGTTTCAGTACTGTTGTTTTGTTACGCATTTTGATCATCTAAGTATTGATAGTATTCACTTCCTGCATGTATGGTATGCTGCATGCAAAGAAGGGTTTGTTTAATGCCCTTTAATTGTTCGTGGTGAAGTTTGGACAGAGCACAGAAAGAAATTAACTATTTCAGACAACAAACTTGAAGTCACTTAAAGATGCAACAACGACTTTCTCTATATTGTCTCATTTTTGCTCACAGTATTCAAGATGGGCACCTATTTTCTACAACACTTAACAATTCTGGCTTTATTTAATAGAGGCATTTGACTTTTTTGCATGTTGAGCCCTAAAAATGGGACATCACTGATTGTCCTGAAGAGAAACCTAGGGCAAAGTGCATCTTTATGGAAAAAGATGAAAATTCAATGAATGATTGTGACTAAAGACATTCTGTTCAGTTGCATATATTTCTTTTAAAAAAGTGGACTTCACATTTATTCAATATTTAATCTTGTTTTATCAGATTTATAATTAGAAAATAAAAGTTCTATAGAATTTGACAAGATCTCTATTCCTAGTTGCCACTTAAATTGTGTGTAAATTCTATGTATTGAAATTTCAACTCACTTAAATTAATTTGAAATATCTACAAAGTGATAGCATGGCTATTTGTAGAATTAAAGTGGGATGAAAACAATGACAACTTAAATTTAGATGATGATTTACTTAACTTGAAGGTATCAATAGATATTTAAATATATTAAGTGGTTTATTGGTTTAGTACTAAACATGATATATTATACCGCCTAAATACAATCATATTATCTCAATGTATATAACTTTCAGATTAATCACTTTAATTTATGAAACTAATGTGCAAAAATAGCTGCCACTATCTCTAGATGAACTAAATTGCTCCTTCTGTATAAGCTACAATGCCTGGATGCCATAAAATTTTATAGCCCATCAAATATGAGTCCAAAGTACATGCACATAGCATCGTTCATTACATTTGGCAATTCTCAAAAGCTTAAATTACACTCCAGTGGGGATGGTGTCAAATTAGTTTCTGGCTGTTAATGGATTATTGTAGGTTCTTTTAGAATCAATGGTTTTAAGAGTTCACAAGATGTATTTTCATGTTAAGGTTCTATTGAAAAACATGTCATAATTGTCATATACGTAATACCATAAATAATCAAGTCATTTGTATTTATTATTTGATAAAACTATCACATTTGAGCTGCTGAAATGACTTGAAAAATGAATCCCTTAATGGGTCACATCTGGCCTCAATCTAGTAGTATCAATAATGTCTGCTTTATCAGTAAGTGAAGATGAATTTTTCATAATCATTTTCCCATTAGATAACATGTAATATTTTACTCTAAAAAACCTGTAATTGCATCATGGGTCAAATTAATCGAGCATTCTGATTTCATAACATCCACTTGCTAATGAGCATTTATGAAAAAGTCATATGATGGTCATAAATAAAATGGAGGTTTCAGATATATAGGAGACATAATTTTGTCCAATAATAGGAGACTGCAGACATGAAAGTTTCTTCTTCAGGAGACAAAGGGTAAAAATATTTTCTTTCCTTGATCAGTGATATAAAATATTTTTAAAATACAAACTTCTTTAATTTGCATGAAAAGAGTCTTTCAAGACAGATCCCGCCCAACAGAACAGCCGTCCTTTTGGGTTTTGATCGTGGCATCTATGAAATAGTCCCCAGTCTGAAGTAATGTTCTAACTGACACCAAATGGGCTGTTAAAGATTATAACTTGAAATTTATGATTTGATTCTCAAGCACTTGTGTTTTAAGAGTTTATGAATAGCCAACCATTCCCATCTAGCATAATTTACACAGTAATAATGCCATAAACCTATTAGTTGTTAAAAGTTGCTTGAACTTTGTTCCAACTTTGAGGAGCTTGTTCACTTTCAGCTACATGTTTCATGAGGTCGTTAAAATAAATGTGATTAAAGTAAAGTCATAAAACTGAAGTGATTGTTCTAGATGTAATAAGAATGTTGGTTTCAGCATTAAGGGTCATGTTTCCCTCTAAGTTGGTCATGTGATAAGTTTTAACTTGTTAACGCTGTATGTGATATGTGTCATCGAAAAACTTCATCGAATAGACTCTTCATCAAGTCAGAAGGGTGGGTTACTCAACTTCATGTTTGATGGTTATATTCAACTGTTTAGGGATATTCAAATCAAAAATCATTGTAGCATTTACCTATAATATGTTTTGTCAAAAAAGAAAAAAATTCAAAACAGCAAATAACATCTAAGAACACATCTTAGCATTAGAAAGAATAAACCCCAAGATCCCAAACTATGATTTGATAAAAGAAAAGAAATACACTGCCCTACAATATTGACATCAGTCTTTTGCAACTTTCAGTATTATCTCATGGCGCTCCCTGCATCTCAAAGGGATCCATTCTAAGGTCTTGTAAGATGCACCTGAATGGCTAGCTCCATGTATATCTCCAAGCATCCAGGGATCATGTTGGTCTCTTAATAAGTCTGCATAGGAAAAGGTGGGCAGTAAAGATTATGTACAATATTACAGAGCTGTGAAAATGTCATTTCTAATACTGTATTCCCTCTAATAAATGGTGTATGTGAATCTTAACAAGAGAGAATTTGGTAGATTAAATGCAGAAAGGAGTTACCTCAATAAAAAGTAAATACTGCTACTATCATGTATAATACCCTTTGCATTCGTTCAACTTCACATCTAAAAAGAGAGCTTCGCCTTCACTCTTTCAGTTTACTATAGATCTCTGATCTCACTGAGCCAATCAGAATTCGTCGTCGAAATACGGATGACTTTCTATCTCGCCTGACAACTTCTCATAAATGAGCACGCATTTAGCACGCGTTCTTTCAACTTCGCTGATTGGTTAAGAAAGGGTCAGCGTGGTAGATTTGGAATGATTTATTACCCGGGCTGTCACAGGCACCAATCTTTGGGGCGGGGCTGCTAAACTGCATCATAGTCTATACTAGGCAGAGGGTAGTTTATAACTAGACTCTGTGCTCAGGGTACATAACAGTCTGTGACAATGAAATTTTTGCTGAGTAACTAAGACACGGCAGTCACACTGGGATTTCACTCAGTATCATCACAAAGCAATTCATTTACAGTTTTAGTGCATAATGAATGCTTTTGTAAGACAGACACTGCTTTGAAGTTATGAAGAACACAGAATGGTGTCACTGTTTAAGTGTTACAAAAGAGGGGAACTCAAACTGCTAATGAGTCCCTCTTAACATAAGGCTTCAAGAGTTTGTAGAAACAGTGCAGGCCCGTAGCCAGGGGGTTCGCAGATTTCGGGCGAACCCCCCTGGCCAAAAAGATTTTCAAAATCATGCAGTTTTTCACCATTTTGAGCACTTCTCAAGTGAACCCCCCCTGGAAATTTTTAAAAACTGACCCCCCCTTGGCTACGGGCCTGCAGTGAAACTCACAATATGCACATGGGTTTTCACAGGTCTTCCCTGTTAAAACAATATATGAGACAGACTTCAAATTAAGCCAAGCTGTGCAGCTCATATTAAATCACCAGTTGTACCATAAGAGCTATTATCCCATATACTAGATAGATACTAGGTCAGACTACCCTAACTAAACAAAGCATACACATTCAATGGTCATAATTTAGATTGAGCAGATCAAAATATATGTCTGCTAGAAATGATTGACTAGGGAAGCACTCAAAAGTTTGATGTCATTTCAGAACTTGTAGAGATATAAAGAGGACGGTGCCGGTTGGGTGTGTTTATCTTGACAAGATTATTGTTTTGAACTGACCCTATTAGTTTCCTATTCTGCACTGTGTGAATTAATACATGAGAATCAAAATTGTTGCATATCAAAAACAATAGTTTAAATAGAGAACCCCACAGGCTTATACAATTCTTGTATGTAGTTCTGTTCTTTTTCATTTTCTAAATTTAGACCAACATGCTAGTAGATACACTTGATTTAATCAAATCAGTTTCTAGATTTTGCAACTATTGTGTTACTTCTATTAGGGATCAAAGACAAGCCATTGAATCATTGCATCTTCCATGAATGCGATTGATTAATGTAATCTTTGAGATTATTTCAAAAATATGTCAAATTAAAAAATATCACAATAATAATTTTCATTTATTTAGTTCGGATAATGAACATAACTGTGTGTAAACACTCTAACAAACCACTTTTGGCAAAGTGGAAAGAGATTTTCGACTTGGTGCTGCGCCTGTTGCTCTGGTACTGGAGAGATCACTGATACATTTACATTGAGATATTATGAACTTTATTTAGATACATGTAAAAGATTATTGTGAATAAAAAAGCAATTAGATTGGTGTACTTAGTGTCGTATTTCAGATAAAGTCTACTCAAAGTATTTGATGAAAACAATTCTAATTAAAGCTGGCTCTTACAGGTGTACAGTAAAACCTGTTTACCTGTCACACATAGTGATTATCTCAAAAGGATTTTACAATGGGGAACTGAATTGTTATTTAACCTGTTTCGGTTAAGATATTTCCAATTCAAGTTTTCAAAAGTGATTTTCAATAGTATGAAATGAAATATTTAAAGTGCTTAACAATATCAGATGATGATTTGAATATTTTTTGATTATGAAGTCAGGTGTATATTTTAGATTCATTCATTATCTC